ATTGCCTAAAACGATAATGACTAAAATCTATCTAAAATTAACACCAATTATTGACTAAAACTAAAGCAGGTGTGCAAATAAAGACAGTTATAAAGAGAAGTGGAGGTGAGGTGTTTTACCCATCACTGATCCGAGGATGATGCCGACCCCTAGGCCTTTGCTCAGCACAATCTTCAGACATGGTACTGTAACAAAAAATAAAAAACATTCATTAGCTGGCTGACATCAAGAAGTATCACACACACACACACACACACACACACACACACACACACACACACAACACACACACACACACACACACACACATCCAGGATACCATCCAGTCGACTAAGTATAAAAGCAAGAGATGATCACATGAATTTGAAAGCAGGCAGAAATGAAACAAGTCTTCATATAAGTAACAAACTAGTGATTATGCTATGAACTACAATGCTGTCTCTCTAAATTACTTTCTACTTCCCTACTCTGGCTGTTTTACTATTGAACAAGGGCGTACACAATACAGTTTCATTTTTAAAAAAGGCTGAGTAATCTGAAAACAGCAGCTCACTGTAGTTTTGACCCAAACTCAAACAGGAGGAAATAGTGCTTTAGGGGACTATTTTCAGCAATGGACTGTTTACATTTAGTATGCTAGTCCAGTGAGTATTTAGGGCAGCAGGATGGTGTATGTGGAATTGAGTTGCCCTGTCACAGAAGGATGCATAAATTGCATAAAAACTAGTCCATGCATTTGTTACTTCTAGGCTGGATTACTGCAATTACTGCAGTCAGGCTGCCAAGATTCCCTAGTTGATCCAGAAGTCTGTAGCACGACAGGAAATACATATTTCTCCCTGTAAAATTCAGAATAGAAGCTGAACTCAAGATAAAACCACCAGTCCATCTGAGCTATAACCGCAATGTACAAGTTACTGAAGTTGAACACAGTGACATGTTAATTCTCAAGTCAAAGTTGATGACTCATGTTGACATGGGATGCGCTTAACTGTATAATTAAAACCTCTAAACTATATATGCACAGTATTCAACGTGCAACAGATTGCTTTTCAATGCACTAAAGTAAAGATAATAAACAATTTGGGCCAGGAAACTGTCGATGTAAATTACATGGTGGGGTCCTATTTCATATGTCAAAGCTGAATACTATGCTGCATCTTATCTTCATCTATAGATTAATCTTCAGCATTAATTATTTGAAGGAAGTTCAGTCACACCTTTCTAGTCTTCCGACCACTCAAAGCGCTTTTACACTACCTTTCACACCCTTTCACTCAGTGATGGCAAAGTCCATCAAACAGAAACTAACTCATTCATACACATTCACAGCAATTTGGGGTTCAGTATCTTGCTCAAGGATACTTCGACACGTGCTGGGTTCCTAGTAAGTAGCGTGGCCGGAGGAGCCGAGGATCGAACCAACAACCTTCCGATTAGCGGACGACCCGCTCTGCCTCTGCACCACAGCCGCCCGACTTGAACCCACAATGTCATACTTACTAGGAAAGCGCAGAAACAAACTGAGCTAACAAAGGAGTACGTGAGTTTATCTTTTCTCCTGAGTCTGAGCTCGCTGCTGACCTATGATATGCCGGCAAAAGGTTGCATGCTTTGTTTACTGCAGTGAATGTAACATTTAAAATGTCTATAAACACTAGACCTATGTTATTGTTGATTTGTGTACTCACATTATCCCAAATGTTTCTATTTATTCAGGTAACGGTGTCAACGGCATCATATCCCTTTCATGCATGCATCGTGGTTGTCTGCCAAAAGTCATAAATTGACTTTTTATCTAGTTTTATCCAGCCACATTTCACTGTACACGTTTTAGATCTTGGTGTTTTTTAACTCTATGTTTGAACTGGATAAAGGATTTTAGTCATTTAGTAATTGATCTTAACTTATCAGAGAAACAAGCTGAGCTAATGTTAGCAGCAGCAAGGTCTGCCCAGCAGCGTGGGAGAAACAGTGACTTTTAAGGTGGAACTGCTTTATTCCGTGTTTTTAGATGTTTTAATCAGCGGGTGTGTTTGTTTTGGAGAGGAGGAGACCTCTATGGATAATTGGGCTCATGGTAGAAACCTCCTGAACCATGAACACTGAAGGAATCCTAACTGAGAGAAGCTGACTAAAGCTGAGTGAAGACAACAACTCCCATGATCCCACTACTTTCTATCTTTAGTTATATTTTAAAAGTACTTGATTCTGTGTGATTCTTACGCACCAGTGCACCAAGGCAAATTCCTCCTATGTGTAAAAACTTACATGGCAATAAACCCAATTCTGATTCTGATTCTGATTCTGATTGTTCTGATGTGAGAGACCACCTTAGCAGCAGCAATAACATATTGGACGTTAAATATGTGTTACTTTGTAACTAAATAAAATTGAATTGAACTACATTGCAGCTTTCTTTTAACATTCTTTCAACATTCAACTCTTCCTTTACTGTGAATTGATGCAATCGGTGCTTGATGTCTTAGGTCTGGCTTGCAAAGTCAAAAATGAAAATCAAATGAAATGAATTAGTAATTACTTACACTACTAGTTGCTGGGGAAAGTAATTTTATTACTGTAATAGTATTACTAGTAATAACCCAGCACTCTTCCTAAATAAACATATTAGGCAAATAGATTTGTGAGGGGGAAAAAAGATTTTGTAAGTCATTACAATGAGAAAAATACTGACACTGTATCTCAAAATAACTTTATAAATAAAGGTTTAGTATCAGAAATTCATTATTTTGAGATATTAAGTCAAAATATTGAGAATTTCCTTGACAGGTCAGAATGCAAATGACATACTACAGAGCAACAGGAAATCAACATCGAGTCTTCCATGTTCCCAGTGCACTGAGCTCCCGGTACTCAACCTAATGACACTGAACTTACCGTCCAATAGGTTGAAATTGAGAAAGAACTCGTCGTAACATGATTCGGGCATAAAATATGTCAGTAAAAGTCCTTTGAAAGGATCCATAAACGATGACCCTTTATCCAGGACTGTTTTCTCCGCCATTGCGGGGATTAATATGACGTTGCCGTACAATGTGTAACACGTAAAGAGTTCCACCAGTTCGCATAATAATACAAAGGTTCCGCCGGTTGAACACAATCACAAATTAATTATTTTTTAAATGATAAACTTAACATAATAATGAAAATGATGACACAGTAACTAATAAAATGATATGAAAACCTTAAAAAACAGAATTCTGTTTTAATTTCAACTGTATATGGAGGAGTAGTTTAAATTTACGGAAGACTATTCGATTTATGTATATAAATAAATCTCAGGATCCTCCGGAGCCCCTAAAGTCCCCAAAAGGAAATACTTTTAATCTTGTTTGCACAAGTTATTTATCTTGTGGCCACAAGATCATTTACTATAAATTCATATGCATCTCTCAGATGCACACAGCGTTCATAATAATGGGAGAGAACTCATGCTTATCAAGTTTTTATTTTCACCTCAGAATGTCATACCATAAAATGCGTGCTGCTCTTGCTGAAATCTGAATGTCCGCCGGATTCTGTTTAGAGGGGCATTGACACTTAATAATAACAGAAAGCTATTGTAGTATCTGAAGGTTTACACATTTAAATTACATTTTGTTATAAGTTTAAATGATATTTTGTCAACATATGCAGTGTTAGCAGTTCATGAGGTTCAGTGATGTTCTTACTATGGAATGTTTGGTTAGGGGCCTCTCAATGGCCCCTGACCTCTACCTTGAAAACCCCCATCCACCCTTGTTACTTTACATATCTGGATTGGAACCAGATGTTTCTTTCTATCTTTTGGAGTAAACAACTGACCTATATAAACGTGTGTCCGATGCAAAATAGACGGAGTTGTTCATTTGGCAGGATGCTCTCCAAGCTCCCGGGGCTTGAAATGATGCTGTACTTTTTTGTAATAAACCTTTATATATACAATCAAGACGGTGTCAGCGGATTTCTCTTCAACACATCTTCACATCATTGCTACTCAATAACACTTTGTAATGGACAGACAGCACAAGACTTTAACACCAGAGACCAAAAT